TTGATTTATTTTTTTAATAGACCGGGACAGGAAAATCCATTAAAAATTCATAACTTCTTCATCCGATGTTCGTTTTTGTCTGTCTTTTTACCGTTGTACTACTATTGACGAGACCTTCGATTCTCGTTTAGGTTGTTTCGGCTAAATAACGCTCGATTTTTATTTAGAGTTTTTAGCTGTCTACTGCTATTCCGAAACTTAGAAAAATCATAACTTTCCTCATATGAAGTCAGATTTGGACGTTCTTTTTATGGAAATTCTCGGTTCAAAGAATACTACGACTTTAGTTTAGATCACTAAGGCTAAAAAGTAGTTTATTGAAAACTCACTTTTTACCCTGAATAGTGTTTGCCGGTTTTGTCGCGAATCTTCGATTGGTCATAACTTTTTCGTTATAACTCGGATTTCGATGAGGTTTTCGCCTAAATTCTTCTAATGAAATTATCTACAACTCTCAATAATAAAATTTTACTTATTTCAAATTTTATGTTTTCGTTAAATTTCAATATTTAACCTTTGATTTGAATCTCATAAGACTTCCAATATTTTCCAAGTGATTCTAAACATAGTTTTACTTCAAATCTATTAAAAACTATCCGTTAGAACTCAACATTCAAAATTATATAATATTTCATAATATTATTCACTTTTAAAATTACAAACACGATTTTAAAACGTGTATGTTATATATATATATATATATATATATATATATATATATATATATATATATATATGTTAGATCTGGTGAAATTCCACCACTACCGCACTTCTTCGCCAGTCACAACCTCCACTGCCGGCGCTCCTCTTATTCACCGCAGTTTCCTTCCTCTAAAGTTCGGATCTAGACTAAAGATTATAGTGGATTTTATTTGCAATCAAGAGTAACTGTTAAATATTGCCATCTGATACTTTTACTAGGACTTAGAAAGTCAAACCTCATACATTCGAATTCTGAAATTTACATGAATCTCTTTTTGTTTTGAACAGGGAACAATTCCAAATGTGGTACTTACTGTATTGCTTTAATGTAGTTGAATTTATTTTGTCAATTCACAAACTTGATTTTTTTTTGTTTTCGTTTGGCCTTGTAGAAGTCTGAATTGGACTGTTTGCAACCATAGTTTATCTATCTATAATCAGTTAAGAGTTATTTCCCTGACCCAAGTACTTAAGTGTAACATTTTTTTTCATGATTTAGTTTCAGGCATCTTCTGATTTTAAACAACCCCGCTACCATCACATGTCCCTGAGTAGTCCCTAGAACTTGTATCTTGTGGTGGCTGGAGGCTGTTTCTGGTGGTGAATTTGGCCGGAGAAATTGTTAGATCTTGCAATCAAGAGTAACTGTTAGATCTTGCCACCTGATACTTTTACTACGACTTAGAAAGAGAAAAGGCGACCAATGTTTAAGGTATTCATATGAACTTTTTAACCAGTAATGTAACTGATAGATTTTAGACTTCAATCGTTTATTAAATAAAAAACCTCGATCCAATTCTTTACAGTGACGCAATGGAAGAAAAACATATCAACTGTCCATATTAGGAGCACAAGTTGCATTGAATATAAGGTAATACTTTAACTTAATTTATTATTAATTTAATGGTCTTGATTTTGCAATCATGATAGGCTCATAGTTGTGCTTACAAATACTTTATTTTTTATTGGTTGGAATTGAGCATAGGTAATAGATCAATGATTATTTTAATTTTAATGGACTTAGTCTATGATTATTTTAGTTTTAATGGAGTTATGCAATTGTGCTTCCATGTGCTAGTTTACTTTACACTACAAAAAAAATGCTACTACAAAAAAAATGCTAATTAGTGACGAAAACAAAATGGTCACTGACAATAGGAGCTGTCAGTAAATGATTTAGTAACCAAACTTTTGGTCGTCACTTTTCGTCACTATAGGTCCGTCACAAAAATTGATTAGTGACCAAAATAAAAAGCGGTCACTAAATAGTGACCAAAATATACAATCACTAAATCTGTGACGATCCGATTCGTCACTAAATGTTGTCACTAATCAATGAAAGTCGTCACTATTTTATCTAATTAGTGACCATAAAAAGTGGTAACTGTTTTGTCAAATTAGTGACCATAAAAAGTGGTCACTGATTTACCCAATTAGTGACCATAAAAAATGGTCACTATTTTCTCCAATTTATGACCATAAAAAGTCGTCACTAATTTTGTTTGCTATTTATTTGTATTTAACTCAATTAAGTAACAAGAATGGAACTTAATTCATTTATCAAAATATATATTGTCAAATGATAAACATAAAATGTTCTCAAATTTAAACAAACTCACATAGTTTATTTTGATTGCAAAAACACATCATATTGAACATCTGTCAAATTAGTAGTTTCAAGTAAGAACCTGAATATGTGAAACCAATCACATTATCTATACAAGATTTATAAATATTTTTGCAGACTGTCTCCTCTTTAGTATCTTCAGTAAGACAACAGTTAAATCTTCCAGCAACTTGATTACCGAAAGCATTTAGCTATATGAGATTAAAAAAAATCAACTGTCATTTAAGCAAATATGATATATTCCATCAAGTGGCTACTTCAAAGATAAATTACCTATGATTCTTGGAGTTGGTGCTTTTGGATCTGCTGGTGGCCTTCTTCTCATTACTATGTTCAAACCTATAATGTTGTAAATAGAAAAGAATGAAAGTAGGATGTTATAATAATCAAGTAATGGAAGTGCATTGCTATTTATAGGATTTACAATGTTTTAACAGAATTGGTAAATTGAAATAGAAGTGAAAATAATTATTAACCAAAAAGTAAATAAATGTCTGACTAACCTGTGATTGAAGCATCTCTTATAAACTGGGAAAATATGCAGCTATCCCACAGTCTGCAAGAATGATATTAGAAATGGTTAATTGAAAGAAATAACGGTGATTTGTTTATTATAGCATATCCTATTTTAATGAAATATACTCATTTATAGCAATACAAAGCAAGTTTATGTAGTAATTTCAAGGTATAAGGTGTTGATAAGATAAAAACTGAAAGTACAATGCTATAATTGTATCAGGGGTGGTTTAGTAAATTGAACAGTTGATGTTACCTCGAGATATAAAAGAATATTTGAAATATTTAAGCCTATTCTTTCCATTCCGGTATCACCCTGCAAATAGTTTAAAGGTGTATGAAATGCCATAGTTGAGAAAATGATGGAATGGAACGACAACAAGGGAATGGAATGAGTGATTACATCCGGTTATCATATTTGGCATGGTTAAAGGAATGAAATCATTCAGTTATCATGTACAACATTAACAACACCACTCTCTAGTTAAGAGCTTGCAACTTCTTTCTGTGAAGAGACAGTTAAAACCATAATATTACAGTAAAAAGAAAAAGAAAGAGAAAGAACATAAACTGCTTAAAAAGAACAAATATATACCAAAATTATTTGAAGGGCAATAACTTGTAGCATAACAAGAGAGTTTTTTCAGTTGAAAAATATGTGAACAATGTAGTAAAAATGACATAACTTCCCCTGATTAAAGCCCAACAGAAAGTAAACAAATTCATAAAACAAAAAAGTCGTTTTATTACCAAATTTTGCAACAAATTATAGCTTTGAGTCAATACCATAGGTCTGCAACATATTATATATTGGTTTAAAGCAAGAAAATTCAAAACCAATATAAAAAAAAATCCACCAAATTTATTTAATGCACTTTAAGTAATGAGAACTTAGCAAAGTTTTTTAAATCTATTGCAACTTTTTTTCTACTCGATTGGATCTTTAATGTTAACGCCCCGATTGTTAGGTATTAATATTATAGTTTAGACCTTCAAGTTTTAAGGTCTACTCGACGAGTAGATGCCCTGACTCGTCGAGTAGCAGCGCGTTTGGGCCACATCATTAAATGACCGACTCGTCGAGTCAGAGAAGTGACTCGACGAGTAGGAGCTGGAAGAGGAGAACCTAATTTTCGAGGTTTTGCACCCTATTTAATGGATCATTAGCCCCCTCTGTCCCTTACCATCCATTGAGAGCTAGAAAACCCTATTTTCGTGTGTGAGTTTGTCACACCCCCAAACCAAGGATGGCGGAAACGTCCGGGGGTGGAGGACTTCATGTATAGCATCATAACAACAATTGCAATAGTGATTTAAGCAAACACAACCAACATATATATAATTGAAAAAGTTACATCATTGTATGAATTACATGTTTCCAAATCAATTACAATATGTTGACAAAATGTGAAATGTTTGACGCCTTAACGCCCATCCTCAAAAGCACTTGGTTACCTGTTTAGTGATTTCCTGAGAATACAAGTTGTTTGAAAAAGTGTCAACACAAAGGTTGGTGAGTTCATAAGCATTTGTAGACGGTTTATGAAAAGCTTTTTCTTGTAAAAGTAGTGTTTGTTCCAGAAAAATCCAATATTTTCCTTAAAATGTAAAAGTAGTCTTAAAACCCAAAGACCGAGGTGTACAAGTAATTTGTTATACTTATGATAAAATGATGCAAGTTTAAATCACTACTAGAAAAACAGCCTTTTACAACGCTCATTGCGCGTCGTAAAAGGCTCAGACGACGCGCAAATGCACGTCAAGGAAGGCCATGTCATAAAGAGAAACGACGCGCATTTACGACGCTCATTTACGACGCGCAATTACGACGCGCGTTTACGACACGCAATGCGTATCAAGGAAGCCCCTGTCATAATGGAAGACGACACGCATTCGCGTGTCGTAACCTTACGACGCGCGTGTTAATGACACGCAATGCGTATCAAGAAAGCCCCTGTCAAGAAAGGCCATGTCATAAATTAAGATGACACATATTTGCGTATCATAATTTTAAATGTTTAAAAAAAATATTATTTATAGATTTACTAATTTTCAAATTAAATTTGTATTAATGTCTCATAATAGAAAATTAAATATCATATACAAAAAATACAATCCATTATATAAAATTTAATGTCATACAAATAATCGTTCCATGGAAAGATAAAACAAATCAATAGTTGTAACAAAAATTTAATGTCATACATTGTTATTAAGGGGTTTTCCCTAACTATATAACCTGATACTACATCCCTAACTATATAACCTGATCCTTCATGTCATTGGTTTGCCACCTGGTGTACTACGTAAAAATGTTGAACTTGGTGTCATGGGCGGCTGCCCACCGGGCGTGGCTGGAAAGTAATTACTTGCTGATAAGATAACAATGCTTTAATCCAAGACGAGTCAAGAATGCCTAAGAAAAAGAATCAACTAAACAAGCAAAATCTTGATTGGATTTTTGTTAGTGTAAGAAGAAGGTACAACCCTTTAAAAGGCAGCTGGTATCCCAAGTGTGAGGAATGGAGGCCTGTGATCCATTGTCACCTAAAACAAAAAAATTCTTGTTAGAAAAAAACTTCACCTTTATTTATTAGTTTTCCATCCACCACTGTAGGCATGCTTCAAATTCGTTAGATCAATGTTGTCTAAACTGTTAGACAACAATGAGTTTCCAAGTAATCCTAAAAATCAAAGTAATGCTTCAAACTCTTCTCAGTTTTGTTAGAAACAAACTTTCTGTGGAAGATCTTTATGCCAAATACATTGAATTCATGGGGGAGGGAAATATTTAAGCCCAAGTGTTAGAAGGAAAAAATGACACCCTGTCAACAAGAAAGAAAATATGTCTAAGTTGATTTCAATCTATCCCAATTTTCATTGATCAAACATTCAACTTTCATAGATTCAATTCAAATCAGAAATACACCTCAACAGCCAGATAACAAATAGATCCACCAGTGAAGCTAGTCCATCAGCAAAGCAAAATCCTGGAGATAATTTGAAGAAATTCTGGTCTAATATGTTTAAAATTTCATAAAACCCAAATTCACTAATGAAAATGCAGATCTATATTGGTAAGTTATTATGCATTCCAACCTTGAGAAAAAGGTTAGGCAATATGTTGAAGATGCAGTTGCAAAACCATATTCCAGCAGAATGAGAACTGTAGGGAATATAACACCATTTCCAATAAACTGTTCTGAGCCTACAAAGATAGAACAATGTTAAACATAGTTCATTAAAGATGTAAAATACTTCCAATAAACTGTTCTAGGCCTACAAAAAAAGGCTTCTACATACAGATACTACTGATGTAAATACTTACAATATACCTTGGAAAATGCATGTAAAATGTGAGTTTGGAGACTTACCAAAGATGTAAAAGAGAATGATTGCAAATAAGGAAGGGACTAAGAAGCTTATGATGTCCCATATATGTGTTGACACCCAATATGACAATATAGATACCTGAGTATTAGTAATGATAACCAGTTAATGGTCAAACTGTGAAGCACTTATTGGTTATACATTGTTGTGTTAACAAAAGAAAAGCGTAAAGAAAACAAACAAGTTTGCTTACCCCACTAATCAGTTGTTGATGTTTCACTTTTACTTCATGCTCCTGCATAAGACATGCATTACGTTAAAATACAAGAAAAATATTCCCATTAACTAATTGTTTACAGGAAACCCAAATTAGTTTACCCAAAATGACCACTAAGTTATAAATCCTTGATCAAGAAATTCTTGCGTATTGCATAAAATGTTTATTGTTGGATTAACTGAGGGGCGTTAAAATAATTGGGTCAATGATGTGAAAAAGACAACTAGAGAGTGGCATACCTTCACAATAGGAACAACAAATGAAGCACGAATGAAATCACTATTTAAATACACAACAATAGTTACAGAGAATGCATCCAGGTCCTACAAGATCATACAAATCACTATTTAAATACACACTACATATAAAGGTGTCAATATTTTGATTGTATGTTATCCTAGAAAAATTTATAAGATATGAGTATAAATAGAAGAATAATTGGAAGTATATGTATACTTGATGTTGCAGGTGTTGACTTTCTGTCATTGGCATTGGATGATTACGTATTTGTATGGTCATATTCTCATTATGTGTAGCAAGCCTAAGAATTACAGCATTCATTAAATTGACAAAGGTTGGAGCAGCATGCTGACAAGTGTTGTTGGGAAGAACCGAATACCCTATACTACCATCATCATTCTGAGGATCCATCACAATGGCCCCATATCTTGAGTCATAAGATTCATTGAAGCTGGACATCAATAGCATCTTACAATACCTTACTAGGATCAGGAAATGTGTATGTGCTTTCTTTAAACTTTTGAATCCAACACCCTTCTATATATTGTTAAACCTGTTTAGCAATAGGCAACGAAAGATCAAAAGGAATAGGACCACCACCACCTTCACCGCTAAGTAGTGGATTAAAGTTGGAAGTTGTGAAGGTTATGGAGGGTTGATCAGGATGTGCCAACCTGAAGCAACAGATCAAAAGAGCCCAATTAAGCAACCTTACAAGCTCATGTTGTAAAATTTAAGTAAAATCTGAGAAATTACTTTGCTCACGCATGTTGCTGATGAAATATGTCTGTAGATATACATAATTAACTTTACATTCCTATTTATTTCAATATATATATATATATATATATATATATATATATATATATCCTAGAAGGGGTAATTCAGTAAAAGACAAGTAATCAGTTTGTTTTTCTGTTGAGGGCAAATCTGGTATTTACGTTTTTGTGCATACATTATGTTTTTTTAGTACATATACACACAAACAAAAAATTTAAACCAAAGAAACAAAAATCAAAACGTATGTATATTATTAAACAAGAAACAAAAGCAAAAAAAATGAAAAAAATTTGACAATTATGCATATATATGGACGTGTATGTGTGTGTATTGACAATTATGCATATATATGGACTTGCCATATTCCTTTAGAGATGTTGTGTGTAGAACAGATAGACAAAATAAGCACATACCTGCTTTTCTTTTTAAAGGCAAGCTAAACCCCAAGCCAATACCTTTCTACAACCACCTCTTGCTGAAAAAATTCAAAAACAAGGAAACAAATGACAAAAAAACACCCTCAGAAAACCCCCAAGTATAACATTAAGCATATCATTTCCTTACGAGTCAAAACCATTTTTTGTGTCATTGTGTGAAGAGCTTTTTCTTCAAATTCAACTATTTTTGTTGCATGCACTATTCAGGAAAAAGTGGCAGCCTAGCAACACTTGTATCTGCAACACCACCCGTAGGTGCAATGAAGCCTGAACTAGGTTTGGAGTTTTTCCCTGATTTCTTGTTTAACTTTTGTGGAAGAATCTGTAGCCTTGGATTGAGGTCAGTGCCCGAGTTTTCTACAGCCAATTAATTGGCTGTAGAAACTAATGCCAATTAATTGGAGCAAACATTTCAATTCAATGCTCTAACAATTTACCAAACAAGAATATAACAAAACTAATGCTAAGATAAGATACGATCTATTATATATGAGAACATCAAAATTTTGTAGCACCACAAGGAGACAAATGGTAATTGGTATATCTTATTTCAGATACAGGCCATACAATTGTTGTCTCTGTTGTAAGAAAATTTTGGTTGTCCTTCTGCAATTCAATGGACATTCAAGAAGATTATGGATGTCAAATACTAAAGAATAATAAGAGATTCCTAACTAAAAAAAAATAGAAATTACCTGTTCATTATTCTGAAAAATAGAATCAAGTTCACGAGTTGGAGCTAAAACTAACATAATTGGTCCATCTCCAGGAGCTGAAAAAGAATTATATATTAGCTGAAAAACTTGAATTTAAAAGGTTGAAAAGAAAAGAGGGTGTTAGCCCAACCTCCTCCCCCTGTCCCACCATCAGTAGGACTTTGAATACAATTCCTCTGTTTTCAATTTTATATCTTTTTGACTTCAATTTTATATCTTTTCATTCAAGAACAAGCTCATTAACACATCACCTACATATACAATTGAAGTCATTAAAATAAAATTAGAAATCATATTAATTACACATGTTTTACACACTTCTTAATGATGAAAAATAATAGTTTATGTTCTAAAGGCAATCATATCTTCCTCTGAGGAATTTAATAGATTCCAAATAATTTTACAAAATCAAAATAATTAAAGAGAAAATTAACCTTCAGCCTCCATGTCAAAAACTTCACCAAATAACATAGTCCGCTTTTTATGTACACACATAGAGAAACCAGCACGAGGTCCAGGTGGCATTCCACCTTTCTTTACCTAAAACCAGATAAAGTTTAAATAAAATATAAGTTATTCACCTCCTGACAATGACATAGGACTGAATTAACCAGACTGAATTCACCAGCACGAGGTCCAGGTGGCACACAGTCTGCTTTTTATTTAAAAGACCAAAATACCCTCGATATTCACCTCCAGACAATGACATAGGACTGAATTTTCCATCACTTGATATGGCAGAATATAAAGAAGATGAAGACTGATATTGATTGAAAAAGAGATTTAATGACTATGTGGTACCCGCCTTTGGCATTTGATCTTTTAAGAACCGCAGCTTTCGTGCCATTTCTCCACATCTTTTGATCTTCACAACAGAGGCAAAATAAATAAAGCAATAATCAATACATTACTTACAATCTCTTTTTCAATCAATATCAGTTTTAAAGATTATAATGCAAAAATCAACTTCCAAAAGTCAATTGTATCTCTTATTTGGGAATCACAAAGTAACAATAACTTGTTTTTGAAGCTTGAAGCAGATTTAAACGGGTATAGCTGAAGAAGATAAGTGACAAATACTTTTGAGCTAATTGATGATATAAAACCATTTGCAAAATAATCATCAGGGGATCCATAAGATAGACAACATGTGCCACTAGACAAGCTTTCCATTACACCATTAACTTTGTAAGAAGCTGAAGGGGCTTTATGGAACTATGATAGAAAAACTCATCGACCAATCAAATTGCAAAATAATGATCAGGGAATCCATAAGCTAGCTTTCACCCATGTTAATTAAAAAAAAGTCTTTTTTGAACGGATAAAATGTCATACAGAAGCAAACAAATCGATCCAACAAAAATTATCGAACGAAATGAAGAAGCCACATCACTCAGGGCTTAAAAGTAAACTAGAAATTTGCAAAAGTTTGAAACTTGCCTGATAAGTTCACGAAGGAAGATCTCTTTGTTGCTGTATAATCGTGTATGAAATTGTTGTGAATAAAAGGTTAAAGGATCTGGCTTACCAGAGGACCATCGGGGGGAGCTTGAGGGATGAATTTGCAGTCATCGGGCCCACCTTGACCTAATAATGAAGCGATGCAGGCAACAATGTGAACCAGTGGCCCTTCTTTCCCTAAATCCAGACCTACAGCCACAACTCCTATGCTTCCAACGATCTATAAAAAAACGTGAGGCTGTAAACAACATGAATGAAGGGGAGACGGAAGCGGTCGGAGGAGGAGGCTTCGTCGGTGTCGTCGACTAGAGACCGGAGGCGGAGGCGTCGTCGGCCGTATCAATGACTTTGTGTCGAATGAACATTCGATTCAATTTTGACATTATGGTCAAATGAACACTCGAGATTTAAAGTATTAGAATAGTGAGGCTGTTGGTGAATGGTGACCTAAAATAGTGATGGGGTTTTGTTATCAGTGTAGTTATGTCTCAATGAAATAGAAAACTCACCAATAGTTATTAATAAGGAAGAAAATGAATCTGGTTACACTTTTGATGCTTTAATTAATAAAAATAATATTAATAAAAACGCTATAAGAAAATCAAATTTATCAATGACTTTGTGTCGAATGAACATTCGATTCAATTTTGACATTATAGTCAAATGAACACTCGATTTAAAGTATTAGAATAGTGAGGCTGTTGGTGAATGGTGACCTAAAATAGTGATGAGGTTTTGTTATCGGTGTAGTGCGACAGGAAAGAATGGTTGGAGAGGATGGTCGGAGACACTTGGCGGTGCGAGATCGGAAGTTGGGTGGTGGTGCGATGCAGCTATGAAGACGAAGGCCTAGGGTTTTTTCTTGCTAATTGGAAGGGGGGGGGGGGTGTGTTTAATTTTTGGGATTCAATAGGCGGGTGAAATCCTGCTTAAAAACGCGTGTTTCATTAAAATGTTATAAAGCGACACTTTTAGACGACGCAAATTTATGAAAGGCGCCCTCCGCATTTCTTTTTTTTTTCTTTTCTGACATTAGTTTTAGGGCACGCACAAATGCGTGTTCTCTGTCCTTCAAATTTTGCAAAACTGACATTGTTTTTTAGGGCACGCACAAATGCACGTCCTTTATCAGCGAGTGTCATTGTTTGCGCGTCATTAAATGGCTTTTTTCTAGTAGTGAATCTACGTAAACTCGTTTGATCTACATGAATTCCCCGTAAATTCTATGTTTGTTAATACTTAATGTGAGCTATTATAACCATACTATGACCTAGTTGGCCTGAGACGACGTTCTTCAGGCGTCGGAACTGTTATGACATTTGTCACCACAGACCTGCCGGTCTAGCTGTTGCAAGCAGCTCAGGTGTGTGTTTGTCAATCCCAATATAGATCTATATACAACTATCACGCTCTCCCTCCAGGACACTCTGGTTACAATACAGGACTTATTGGTAAAGTGAAGCGAATGTCTCACAAAAGCCATTAACGAATTCACGTGTAATGTAATGGAAAAATTCCTTTTTGTATGAATGTACCCTTTTTGTATGAGTGTGTTATGTGATGTATCATAAACTATACCTATTATAGTTTATCAAAACAAGGGTAAAAGTGGTAATGTACATAAACTATACTTAACATAGTTTATTCAAACGTTTGTATGTAATAGATGTACTTTGATTATAACAAATTGTTATTTCTATGCTTTGTCTAGAAAACTTCATTTGTTAACTGGTGTATGTCTACATACTAAGACAATAATGTCATATATTGCAATAACATATAATCACATAAAGATATACACCTTGCTCAACATATTACAAGGTGAAATGAAATTGATAGTATTTTTCTGTTGATAACATTTTCTATCCCTGTTCTATAAAATTTGTAGAAAAATCATCAAAGGTCCAAATCAGAATCCAAAAATTCTAAGAGTTTGGAAAATGAGTCTAGTTTCTCCATAATTTTTCTCATGATTTTTAATGACCTCTAACTTGTGTGAACAAGTCCATAATCACAGACTGGTCCGTATTGATGTTTGAAATGATAGACAGTTTTGTAAAAATCACCATAAATTGTAGAAAAATCGTATGGAGATGTGCAAGTAGTCATTTTAAAGATAAGAACTTGAACTATTTGAACCTAATACAGTTTTGAAAACTAAAATGTTTAAGTTGTCCAAAACAGTCCGTGAATGGAGTCCAACTTTTCTGATGAAGGCTGTTAGAAAAGTTTAGTTATGTTCTTGGTGTTTTAACTTGTATTCCCCCCCCCCCCCTTAAAACTTAAGAAAACCTGAAAATACAGGGACCGTCATTGAATTATACAAGCATAAAGTTCCAGCTTTAGTCGAGATTAAGGTTCCCTTGGTCCATGAACACCCATTAAAAGCTTGGTTTTGACATTAAGAGCTTGTAAAGCAATGCATGCACGTAAAGTTTGCAACTTTACGTGATAAGCAGGCTTAAGGAAGTTAGATATGCAATTTGGGACCTTGCCATGGCATAAAGACGTCTGCATGTTAAAATGACTAAAGGGACTCGGCGAGTCATATGAAGATGTGCATTAAACCCGACGAGTTGGATGAACAACTCGGCGAGTCAGACGAAGGAAGCCGTGAACTCGACGAGTTGGTTGAACAACTCGGCGAGTTAGATGAAGATGGTCAAGAAACTCGACGAGTTGAAGAACAACTCGGCGAGTCGTATGAGTTTTAGCCAAGGATATGTTTGTGTGTATACCCGTCGAGTTGCAAGGAGGAAACTCAACGGGTGGCCTTAAGGTTTGATCGGGATTCGAAGGAACTTGACGAGTCACCCCGATGACTCGGCGAGTTGGAATGTGCTTCAAGGACTCGGCGAGTAGCCGAGTGTACTCGGCGAGTTGAGGTCAACATGGACTGTTGACCTTGACCGAGGACTTTGACCTTGATCAGGATTTGACTAGTGGGTTATGGAGTGCCTTATAGGGCTAAGGAATTATGAGTATATTGTGCTATGGTTATAGGTAGTGGAGCCTGTGACAAGTGATCCGATAGTTGGAGCTTACCTTCCGAGTCGACATCTGCGAGGTGAGTTATCCTCACTATATCGATAGGGTCTACGGCACCAAGGCCGAACCTTTAGTTGTTATTGTTATGGTATGCTACATGTGATATGATCTGTTTGATCGGAATTAGGGGAGACAGTATGTTATGCTCTTATGATCCGTAGGGATTGGTATGTTAGTGACCTGCTAGGTCGGTCCTCTAGTTACGAGAGAATTCTATGATTGATGATCAGTGAGATAGATATACTTGATGTTGTATATGCCTGTATAAGATAGTATGCGCACATGGTTATTTGCCTGTGGGTTGGGTTGAGGCGGTCCTGCTTTGTGCTGAAGGCCAACATACCCTATGAGCGGTCCGGGGAGACTGTAGGCCCACGTGGCGGACCAGTCATGCCGAAGGCTCGGGATAGATTCAGATAGACTATAGGCCCAGTAGGGCGGACCAGTCAGGACGATGGCCCAGTATGCATCTTGATTGATTGATTGTTATTGACATGGTTTCTGTCAGTTTGGTATTGGTATTTTGGGGGTAGCTCACTAAGCCCTCGGGCTTACAGTTTTCAATTTATTGTTTCAGGTACTTGAGGAGATCGAGGGAAGGCGAAGGCATGACCGTACCGCTCCTCATCCTTATGATCTATTTTGGGACACTCTGATGATAAATGATTTGGAAATGTTTTGTAAAAACAAATTACTATTTGTTTCTTTTGTTAAAATTAAAAGTTTAAATTTGGCGTAAATTTGATGGATGTTACAGCATCAAATCAATAGCCTTGGCAGCCCTCTTCGTGGCTAACATGCTAATAAAACTCACATCTCTACTAGCAGCTCCCCCAAGAAGCTGCACCCCCACTGACGGTCGCCTAATGTCAGCAGGGAATAAACCTGAACAAAGATTCCTAGCATCGCATGAAGGCCGAAATAGCTCAGTTTTCTTGATATTCAGCTCAAGCCCCAATCCTTGGCCTACCACCCTAATGATGTCCAATACTCTGGCCACCTCCTCTGAATCTCCAATGACTGTCCCATCATCAAGGTACCAAGCATCAAGAAGAAGCTTACAGTTTTCTCTAATTTGATGTATACGTGGTTGCAGTACCAGAGCAAACAAAAGTGGTCCCAAAAGGTCGCCTTGTTGGACCCTAGTAGTGGACCAAATATGCTTATCTCCCAAATACAACCTTACTGCATGGCCATATAAGAATTCGACCCATAAGGAAATGGAAGGGCACCTCATCCTGACCTCGCGAAGTAAGGCAGATCTATCGACTAAATTGAAGGCATTTGAGAAATCCACAGTAAGCATTGTAAGAGATCCATCATCATGACGTGCACTCAACACCCTATTGACACTATGAAGTACAGCTTCAGCACCACCCGACACACCTACTCCGAATTGAAAGTCAATAAGGTATTGTGCCATTTTTTTACCAACTCCTTTCAAAGCAACATTTGAGACCAAACGCATCCATATAGTGCCCACAACAATAGGACGAATTCCATTGTCAGGTTTTAGGAGCGGAGTAAGAGGTGCAGATGCCACAAGCTCTGCCAGACATGACAGACATCTTCCCCCTAGCCACAGTTTAACCACTGCGGTGATGGCTTGTAGGAGATCTATGGCTATAGCAGACCCTTCCCCGCATAGAGCATCCAAAATATGTTGAGCTCTCAAGCCATCTCTCCCACACGAAGTTCCTTTAGGAAACGATTTAATACAACCGAGGACATTGTCAATAGCTACTATAAGGTGAGGCTCATAATAAATGGTGCTCGGCATGGATGGGGGTGGCTTGTATGGATGCTTAGCCTCTAATGCTTTGATAGTATCCATGTCATGTGAAGCGACACCCGAGGAGCACACCACTTTCACTGTAGCTGTAAAATTCCTATCAACAACCTTACATAGATATTGTCTGATGTTGGTGTTGCCCTTCGTTCTGCCATCCCGAAAGTGATCAGCGCTTTGGCCCGAATCTAACAAAAATGAAAATCTTTTTGGTATTTTTAATTTTTCGAAAAGGAAACCAAATTAACAAAAATATTTTTGTGTTTTACAATATTTTTCGAAAATAAATGACAAACAAAGAAAATTTCGAAAATAGAAATGTACCAAACTAATGAATATTTTCATCTCCAGAAATCGAAAACGAAGCGTATCGAAGTGTTGAACATGAACAGTAACCCCTGAATGATTAATACTATCAGCCTCTGAATAAATCATCATCGCCTCTGAATCGACACTTTTCATTAACGCCAACTTATCTGTAACGCCCCGATTCTCAGGTATGGAATTAAATAAAAGGTTCTTTGGTTT